TAGAGATGAATGGAGGTTTTTGACATGTGTTATCCTGCAGATATCAGGAAATCTGTACACCGTGGTCATGACAGGACAATGCACTGAGTCACTGCCATGTGATTGGCTGATAAAACATAAGTCAAAGAAGTTTAACAGGTGTTCCTAATGAAGTGGCCAGTGAGAGGACTGATATACTCTCACTGAACCAATGTTCAGCCTGTATTAATATAACTTGTTCTGGTAATAAGTGTTTATATTCTGGGCACCGACTGAATCATCTGTGTCATGATCAGGAGGTGCTGGTTCGAGTGGTGGGGAAGGAGGGCTTCTTCTCTCTGTGGAAAGGTTTTACTCCGTACTATGCCCGCCTCGGCCCGCACACCGTCCTCACCTTCATCTTCCTGGAGCAGATGAACCGCCTCTACAAGACCTACGTCCTCGACGTTTAGCCCACGCACACACAGACAGGCACACACGGTCTTTGAATTCTTTCTGTAAAGAGAAAAATGTAAATTAAATGTAGTTCAGACATCATTCACAGATGTTTTGAGTAATTAAGTCTTATTTGTAGAAACCCTGCCCCACTGTCTCCCTGACAACACGCAGCATCATGATGGGTAACCATGGTAACAACCATGGCTGAGCAGAGACTCGTGGTTGAATAAAGACTTTTTGACCTTGCTTTGTGTTGTCATTTCCATCACTTCCTCCTTGGACTCCTGTTATTAATTACATCAATACGTCGGTTAAACTTTATTGTAGTCGATACTGATGTTGATGCCTCTCAGTGGCTCAACATAACATCTGGCACAGCACAGCTGTTATGAAAGTAAGGGAGAAAGTTTCTCCAAATCTCTGGACCCAGGAAACCCAGCTTGGTCCTGATGGTCTTCCACACCAATTTTCTGCCAGGGTGAGTTTAGCTGTTAATAATGTAGACTCTATTATTAAATTAAATGAAAAGAACAAATTACACTTTTATGAAACCTTGTGCTGTTTTTATGTAGTTTCCATGTTAGCAGGCTGCAAAGTGCTCTATAACTGTAAAATGTTATAAATGGATCTAAAAGTGTTTAAATCTTCAGTTTTAGATCATCCTCAGTCTAACCTTAAAATCATAAGGGACAGCATTACATTTCTGATATTAACAGTAACTCTGGGCCTCTGGAGTGTACAGCTAATGTCATCTTTCTAAATATGGATAACAAAAACTAAGGAGTGCTGAGTCATTAAAAAATACAGACTATTAGAGTAACAGGTGTGTAGTGCCACGAACTAGCTACCAAAAAGCCTCAAACAAAGTGGCTATGCTAGCAGCTAATCTAGCAAATGAATTAAAAACAGTGATTTTAGATGTTTTAAAACTACAACATGATAAGCTGTGTGTCTTCTTCATAAGTGACGTGGTTGTATTTACCTTAATTGAACAAGTCATCAGTTGTGGTAAACCTATCACCAGGTAGACTGGTCAGAATGCTCTGGTGACAATCCATTTCAGTTTGTCTTTTGCACAAGTGAATCCACCTTATCCACCTCTGTTTGTCTGCCTGAATTACACTTACACTGCAGGGGAAACTGAACAATAACCAGAACAAAGTCTAAAATAAAAACTGCCAAATATCTGCACCAATAAGTCACGCTTTATTTTCTCAGCATCAGAAAAGGTTTCATTTCTGACCTGCAACAAACATATGCACTGTGCTGGCTATGGAAGCCCGTTTCCGCCACACAAAAAAAAGTATCCATAACTCAAACTGTCGAGTTATTTTCTCAAAATTTCCAGTTACTATTCAAAATTTTGAGAAAAATATCTCAAAATTTTAAGATATGTATACTTTTTTTTGTGTGGTGAAAACGGGCTTCCATAGCTTTACAGCTTGCAAATTTATAGGAGGAAGTTGAATGAATTTCTGGCCTTTATGTCACTCAAATGCAAAAAAAACAGGAAATATAACATGTTGATCTATGTTTGCATCAGCCACTAGATGGCACTGTGTTGCTGCAGAGAACTGTCAGAGTAGCAGTTTTCTACGCAATCCCTCGCCGTTGGACAGCGCAGACATTGAGGCTTACGGCGTTCCCACACCGCGCATGGATTGGGACTCTAGCAACCCGCCCGAGGCATGGCGGCGCTTCAAGCAGCACGCCGAGCTGATGTTCGCTGGTCCTCTTCGGGGGAAGGAGGAGGCAGACAAATGCAGCTACCTTCTTCTATGGGTCAGTGAGAAGGGACGGGATGTCTACAACACGTGGATGCTCACCGCAGACGACTCCCGAAAGCTTCAAACGTACTACGATTACATCACACTGAAAGCTAACCCAATCTACGCCAGATATAGGTTCCATGAAAAGATGCAGGGTGAAAATGAGGCATTTGAACAGTTTATTACAGAACTGAAACTGCTTGCTAAAGACTGTGGGTACCCAAATACAGATGAAATGGTCAGGGATCGCCACACATTACATAAGAGGAGGAATAGTTACCCAGGTTAAAATGCCCAAGAAGATCAGTTTTAAATCTCTCTCCTCATCGATGGCCGAGCCCGAGTTCTTGATGACAGACTTTGCCAAGATGGAGTTTCAAGGACAGCTGCACCTAGGCTTCCAGGCTATCCATGCCTTCCAGAAACATGGCCATCTTCACTCAAATACAACAAACCAGGAAATATAACATGTTGATCTATGTTTGCATCAGCCACTAGAGGGTGTTGCCATCTAGTGTCTGGACCCCAGACCCCTCAACAAGGCCATACAAAGACCCCATTACCCTCTACCCACCTGGGAGGATGTCACCACAAAACTTGCTGGGTACAAGTATTTTAGTGTTTTGGATGCCAGATCAGGCTACTGGGCCATTAAGCTAAGCCACAAATCATCTCTGTTAACCACATTTAATACTGTGTTTGGCAGGTACCGCTTCCTCTGGCTGCCATTCGGGATAATCTCAACCCAGGAAGAGTTCCAGCAACGCGTGGATGAGCCCTACAAAGGCCCTACGAAGGCCTGAGGGGCGTAGCAGCCATTGTGGACGATGTGTTGGTCTTCGGAGGAACCAAACAGGAGCATGATGACAACCTAAGGACCATGCTGCAACGCAGCAGGGAGAGAAGTGTAAAACTGAACCCTGACAAGTGCACCATCTGCGTCAAAGAGGTCAGTTACTTCGGTCACACATTGTCACACGAAGGACTAAAACCAGATCCACAAAAAGTAAAAGCAGTCCAAGACATGGCGCCCCCAGAACAGGGGAGAACTGGAAACAGTGCTGGGATGGTTAATTATTTAGCAAGATTTGCCCCACACCTGTCAGAGATAAACGCGCCGCTCCGCCAGCTGTTAAAGCAGGACAGTGAGTTTGTATGGGACAAGAACCATGACAGATCCTTTCAAGTCACTTAACAGCACTGAGCAGAACTATGCCCAAATAGAAAAGGAGCTGTATGCTGTTCTCTTTGGCTGCAAGCGGTTCCACGAGTACATGTACGGTCGACATGTGACCATTGAATCGGACCACAAGCCACTAGTATCAGCACCACCACGGCTACAGAGGATGATACTACAGCTGCAAAAGTATAACATCAGCATCATCCACAAGCCAGGGAAAGACATCCCGGTAGCCGACTCGCTCTCCCGGAAATCCATAGAATTCTACGATAAATCACTATGTGACGGAATGGATGTGCAGATCCACACAGTCCTCAGCAACATACCTGTTACTGATCAGATAAGAAACAAAACAGACCAGGACCCTCAGCTCAACACTCTGAGAAGGACCACATTGGGTGGATGGCTGGATAAAAGGTCTCAATGTCCGCCTGACATCCAGGAGTTTTGGAACCACAAGGATGAGATCTCACTAATATATGGGATCATGTTTAAAGGAGAGAAAATGATCATCCCAAAAAGGCTCAGAAAGGACATGATAGATCGGATTCACTCCAGCCATATGGGCATAGAAAAGAGTAAAAACAGAGCCAGAGACCTTCTGTTTTGGC